TAGAGTGGTTTTCATTAACCCGTGAAACAAAAGTTACTTATTAGATGGTAATAGCCAGATTCAAAAAATAAAGAAAAAAAAAGAGTTAGAGCGCGTAATAGTACTAAATATGCTAAACAAAAATGTATATCACGGGTTTATGAAATTCGCTCTAAAACATGCAGTCGCCAAAACACAACATTGACCCMTGCTCCCCTCGTACTGATGTATTCGTGAGAACCTGTTATAGAGAAACACATCCCATCCAAGATGGCGGCTTCTGGAGGAAGTTYAACAACAACTCGAGCTTTTGCTCAAAAACTCAACAAGTAATACAACACTTTCAACCGAATTTTATTCCTAATACCTTCCACTATCTTATGTATATATTATTTTGTCCTTTTTTCTAGAAACCAGGCCGCTGCAGAAGTTCGTCGTAATGTTTCTTCAGTCGTTATACAATCAAATAAAAGATCTTCAAATGGTTCTTCATTTATGTATCTTGCTTCGGGGACGGTAAGTTCAGGAATCCTTCCTCTTCTCATTCTCTCTTTCAAATACAGTATTTTATTTTCTAATATTTTGCACTAAATCAAAACAAACTCGGTTCGCAGTGTTGCATAAATCATTTATTTTTGCTCGCTGAAGCGTGGACCTTAGCGCAACACGTTTCTTTAAAAAAATATTTTCAACTTTAACTAAAGGAATTTGGACTCGGGATTATTCTWGAAAGAGTACTGTTCGTGTATATGTAGCTTTAGGTAATCTTGAAGCTGTGAATGAGGTTTCTTGCTGGGTTATTGTTGTTTTAAGTCTAGAGTTTATTGTTCTAAGATGTATTTTAATTTGTCTGGTGGAGGCGTTGTTTCAATCAAGTGTATTAGCTTGGCAATAAGCCATGCTTTGCTGAAATAAAAAATATACAAAAACACAGCAAGATTGTTTTGTGGAAAACCCCTTTTGGGTTGAAACATGCTGTGGTAAACCTAACCTGTTTATAATCATTCTATTTCTAATCCCAAATGATCATGTTACAGTATTATAGCCTTGACAGATGACAAATTTCGTCTTATCATTTGAAATTCCAAATTTCATCTTGACATTTTAAGTATAATTTTATTTTTGCTTTATCTTTCATTAATATTCCTTATTCGCCATGCATCAACAACCAGTCTAACTAGATTAACTTTTTAGTTATTTTAGATAGGTTGTACCTCACGTTCTGGACAATTTCTCTTTAATATCTTTGGTTAATGTAAACATTGAGCTAGTTAAATAAAATCTATGTCTATGTTAGTCATGTACTTATTGTACAAAAATGTTTTACACGTTTGAATGATAACCTCATGCCATGTCCAAAAAACCTTAATTTCTAAAAAAAAATTAACTAATTATAATAATCATTTTCAATTGTTTGGGGAGATTTTTTGCACTCTTCAAATTAAAGGGTTTTTGGGCTTATTCTGATTGTAATATATCCAATTTTTTCTCTAAGATTGATCTAGAATTGAGTTTTTTTTGTCCATCAAACAGCTGGTTGACAGCTGTTTTGACTTCAATTATGTTAGTTCCATTATAAACTGTATTACAGTCCCTTGATAATCATTACTTTCTTTAACTGATCATACCCAAAACGTTCCATACAAGTTCATACATTAGCTTTAACATAAAGTAATTTTCTCAAGTTATTTTGAAAAGAAAAACATACGTTAATAAAACAGTTTTAGACTATTTATTTATATGTCATGAAATCAGGGCCCAGTTGTATGAAGCCTGGATAGCTCTATCTGGCAGATAAATCCTTATCCAGTGGATAAGTTGATGCTGTTATCTAATTAATTTATCCATTGGATAAGATTTATCCGTTGGATAATGCTATCCAGGCTTTGTACAACCGGGTCCAGATGATTCTAGACAAAATAAGACAACCATTAAATTTATTTAGAAAAAAAATCTTAGCCCCATTAAAAACCCCTAAACGTTTCTTTCTCACTAACCCAATCAAAACTTTGTCTCGCATTCATTGACCTACCCAACCTTCGATCAGTACAGGTTATCCACCACCTCCTCAAGTAAAACCTTTCCTTTAAATTTTCTATTTACATTCCAACCTCTTTTTTACAGGTACCATTGACAGAGGTGGTTGATCCTTTAGACTTTGAAGACTTCATTCTCCAGAGCCAACCCCTCAATGACAAGGAACCAGACAGTGGTATGCTAGAGTTCCCAGATGATGATATAGAGGTGACAACCATTCCAAGATACTGTAGAACTGTTCAACCTACAATTCCTAAGGATATTGGGTAAATATTTTTGTAAATATATAGCAGTTCAGCAATAAGTACTACAATTAATAATAATAATAGAATAAATAAATGTTAGCAACATGTGCATCATCTTCATGACTTTTGAGATGTATAGTCTCTCCATCATTTTAAAGAACCATCTCATTATCATCATCAGTATATAGTAATATCATTATTTTTACATAATATCATTCCCTGCCCCCCCCCCTCCTGCATCATCTTCATCATCATCAGATAACTACATTAATGCCTTCATTGCCATGTCAGTCTTCTTCATCACCAACAACATCATCATCATCATCGTCACTCTCACAGGCAATGTCTTCATGATCATTATCATCATCCGCAGCTGCATTCTTATTATTATAACTATCATTAGTTATAATTTTCGTAGCTATTTGATACCCTAAATATCTGATTTTGATCAATATATATTGTTTCCTAGACATGACAGTGATCCCCACCTTAAGGACTGCATTCACTCATACACAGCAGATTGGTCCATTGTTAATAGAAGGTACTGTAAACTTCCAATTAATTTTATAACACAAGCTTTCCAACTGTAAAAAAGCTATTATTTTTAGAGAGAATAAGAGAAAAATATCAAATGCCCTTGGCGGGAATCGAACCCATGTCTTCGGTTTAAATAAATTTACGGTGTTCAACTTACCTATAGAGAAATAAAATATCACTCTGGGATCCTCACGAATACCCTACATTTCATATTCCGGCTGCGTTACCAGCGTGGTAGGTCCTTGTAGTGTAGTGGTTAACACATCGGACTAGAATACTGAAGACGTGGGTTCGATTCCCGCCAAGGACATTTGATATTTTTCTCTTATTCTTTCTATTTCATTATACATACCGAACGCATAATCTATTACTACTCTATTATTTTTAGGGGGAGGGAAGGAAAGAGACTTATAATTTATAGACTTTTAGAGTTATATTTGTATATTAAAATCAATGAACATTTTGTTTTGTATAAATTTCTTGAAAGGTATCAGTTCAGATGTTCTGAGGAAGGAAAACCTGATTCCCGCCGGCAAATTTCTCACTCCAGAAGTTTTGTTGAGACCTTGCCTAAAAATCTTTATGAGATAGACGAGAAAAATAGAATCAAGGACCAGGTAAAGAACAAGATATAACTTAAAACAAATGAAAATAAAGTAATAAATGGAATTTAACAGTGGCATTTCCACAGAGTAGCTCTTAATCTATCGGGGAAAAAACCTCAAAGCATGATACTGTCTGGAAATTAGAACCTGGGTTGTCTTGGTGAGAGGCGAGCACTCTCATCACTAAGCCGCCTGTGCTCCCAGGTTGGCCTACACAATATATCTACTCCGACCCTCCTAACCCCCCTCCTTAGATGAGGAATGCAGGATATTTTTTGGGCCTATGCAACAACCCCTTGGAAATTCCATTTTCTCTCTTCAAGGTATAGCATAGATATTTGAATATTTTCTAAAATTATGCAGCTCATCCTCATCCCCTTCCCTCCCCCTCACCTCTTCTTCCCCTCCCCCAAACTCCTCCATGGGAAGTAGAGGTAAAGGTAGAGGTAGAGGAGTTAAAACCATGGTTATAAAAAACTATCAATATTAGGATAAAGATGATGCAGACATAAGTGCTGATGAAGATACCAAGCCACAAGATGATTTACCCAAGGGTAGCTGGGCATCAAGGTGAGAAACAATTTTTATAAACCTTTTCAAAATAAAGGAAATTATTAAATCACATTTCTATTGGATTTTTGAAGCTGATCATTGCCTTTGAGTACAATGAAACAAAGAACTTGGACAGTAGATCAAGGGAACTTATAATACTATGAACCATATTTTGGTCATGTTGAGTGCTGTGTGTACATGTAGTTACATGTATTAAGTATGCAGGATGGACTGAACCCAAGAGAAGTGTTAAAACAAGCATGGCATTTAGTAGTGTGATTCTCAACACTTCTCAAGTGTTCTGCCGACCCCCACATACTTTACTACACACAGCACAGTTTTACTTAATTACAAATTACAAATAGAAATGACACAATAGAAGTGCATGCCCATGCTGTGTGCTCTCATACTCCACACTCCCAACCAATTAGAATGCAATGTAGCAGTTATTTTATCATGAAGAAATAGAAAACATACGGGGATTGGCAGAATACGAGAAGTGTTAGGAGAATCATGATGTGTAGCGGAATGCTTCTCAACACTTCTCAAGTGTTCAGCCAATCCCCAAGTGCTTTATAACTGCACACAGCACAGCAAGCGAGTTTTTTATTTCTTTTATAAAATGCAAATCAATCATAATGGGAGATTTATAACAGTTATTTTATAATTCTTTTTGGTGATATATTTGGGGTCCCAATGTTGATGCCTGTCTTGGCTTTTTGATAGGAACATGGGCAGACTTGTAAACATACAGGTACAAAGACAGGCAGTAAGGTTGGTAAATAGAAAGGCAGAAACCAAACAGAATGGCAGACGGGAATGAAGAAATAAATTGAGAATGAAAGGGAAGAAAGAGGTTGATTGGCGGTTGGCAGACAGTCAGTCAGTCAGATAGACATACATACGACAAGAAGAAACAAAACAGAAAATTGGCAGGTGGGAATGGAGAAATAAATGGAGAATGAAAGGGAAGAAAAAGGTTGATTGGAATGTTAGACATTCAGACAGACTAGATATTATACTGTACAACAAGAAAAGACATTCCAGAGAAAGAGTCTTCGAGCGTGTTTTAGTTGTTGAGTTGATAAATTGATAATTTAATTRAGATTGAGACGGCATCACTTTACTTTTATTCTGTGTTCCACAGTATCTTTGATCTACAGTCTTCCCAACCAGATGAACTATTTCCAACCCTTCTAGAGAGAATACCAACAGAAGAAGTTGATAATCACAACCACCATCAGCGTACCATAAATCGTATTCATTCTTCTTTCTCAGTATTTCCAGTTCAACAGGTTAGCTACAAGTCACAAAAAAGAAATATTCAATTTGTGTCTTTGTTTAGAATTATTTATTATTTTTCATTATCTTCAATTTATATTATGTGGACCCTAGCTCCACCTGTACTGTATAAAGGAGCAAGGTGCATTCTGGTATAGCTTGGGTATGAGCACCTTGAATTGTTTTTTGTTTTAGGAAGAAGGAATAGAGCGTAGAGTACCAGCTACAATTCCTCAAGAACACTTTGGGCAGAGAGTTTTGGTCAAGTGTCTGCAAATGAAGTAAGAAGACTGACAGCAAAACTCATTCTCACTCATACAATTAAGAGAAGTTTTATAAGAAATCTCAAATGGGTTGGGAAAAAATCTAGCAATTAAAATTTTTTGATTTTTCTTTAGATTGGAACTTGAAGTAGAGCCTATTTTTGCAAGCATGGCTTTGTATGATCTTCGCGTTAAGAAAAAGGTATGGTTTTCATTAAGAAGAGTTTCAATTTCATAGGCATAAATTATCACCTTCTTTAACAATCACCACCAAATCATTTTCATCACCATCGTCATACTTTTTCATCATTATCAACATCACCATCATTGTCATCTTTGTCATAACCATCATCATTTATTATCACCATCATCATCATCATTATTGTCATCTTTGTCATAACCATCATCATTTATTATCACCNCATCATCATCATTATTGTCATCTTTGTCATAACCATCATCATTTATTATCACCATCATCATCATCATTATTGTCATCTTTGTCATTACCATCATCATTTATTATCACCATCATCATCATTATTGTCATCTTTGTCATTACCATCATCATTTATTATCACCATCATCACCATCATTGTCATCTTTGTCATAACCATCATCATTTATTATCACCATCATCACCATCATTGCCATCCTTGTCATTACCATCATCATTTATTATCACCATCATCACCATCATTGTCATCTTTGTCATAACCATCATCATTTATTATCACTATCATCATCATTATTGTCATCTTTGTCATTACCATCATCATTTATTATCACCATCATCATTATTGTCATCTTTGTCATTACCATCATCATTTGTTATCCCCATCATCACTGTCATTATCATCATAACCATCATCATTTATTATCAC